TGCTCCCTGCTCCTTGCTCCCTGGTCTGTGCTCCCTGCCCTGGTGTGTGCTCCCTGCCCTGGTGTGTGCCCCCTGCTCCCGGTGTGTGCTCCCTGCTCCCGGTGTGTGCTCCCTCCTCCCGGGTGTGTGCTCCCTTTTCAGTGCCACAAACACTCCCTCTCGTACTGTGGACAGCCGAGTGCAGATAACGACGCGCTGTGCTGGTCACTAGGTGGCTGAGCAGCAGCCACCTTGTCGGGGTGTTAAAGATGGCCGAGTCGGGATCACTTCTCCTTGTAACTGGGGTTACTTTCTGGGGAAATGACCCAGTTCTCCTTCCTGAGTCACCTGACCAAGTGGGCCTGGCTCGGGGGCAGCAGGTTCACCGGGCAGACGAGTCGTCAGACTAGGAGGCAGGTTCCGATAACGTGAGGTCAGGGGTCTAACTCCCGACTGACTGCAGTCATCACTCTTATGACGACGTAAACGCTTTACCCACTGCATTGGGCACCGAGGGTCACCTGTACCCGCTCATTGGCGATAAGGGTGGCCTGTACCCTCTCATTGGCACTGAGGGTCACCTGTACCCGCTCATTGGCGATAAGGGTGGCCTGTACCCTCTCATTGGCACTGAGGGTCACCTGTACCCGCTCATTGGCGATAAGGGTGGCCTGTACCCTCTCATTGGCACTGAGGGTCACCTGTACCCTCTCATTGACATGAGGGTCACCTGTACCCGCTCATTGACATGTGAGGGTGGCCTTGGACTCTCGTGCACAGTTACCCTCTGAGCTGGAACCCAGTGCCAGAGGCAGGGCTTCCTTCAGAAGCTGCAGGTTGAGAGCAGTCCATGCAGCTCTGATGTGACACAAGCAGTGGAGTCAGACACACTCCTTGTGAGGGAAACAGCATCCGATCCCCCCTCCTCCAGGGAGCCTGGCAGAGAGCACCTGCTACCTAATCACGGTCACCCCGGTGTACAGTGACGGGCCGGGGAGCCCCGAGGCCGTGAGGGCGTACCTGAAGCAAGCCCGTAAGTCCCCCGTCCGCCCCCTGTCCGTTTTTTTTCCCCCATGAGGCCTCTCCTCCTCCTGCCGCCCCTCCCCGGGGGCGGGCCCTCCGCACAGACACAGGCTGCCCGGGGCTGCCTCCGGGCCTGTCACCTCAGCTGGGAACGTTGTTGTGGGTAAAATAGCTCCGTTCCTGTGGGTCCTCTCCCTGTCGGATGTAGGCAGGGAGCAGAGGCCCGCAGCTGACTGACCTGTCGTTTTCTTCCAGCCGTGAACGTGGACTCCTCCCACACGGAGTACACGCTGTCCTCGCTGACGAGCGACACGCTCTACATGGTGCGCATGGCGGCCTACACGGACGAGGGCGGCAAGGACGGCCCCGAGTTCACCTTCACCACCCCCAAGTTCGGTGAGCAGCGGACAGCCTCCCTTTCTGTCTCATCCGCCTGAAGGGCTGTCTGTGCTGGAGTCTTGTTAAAAGACCCTCTTTGGGTTCATAGGAATGAGGTTCAGAAATTAGACATTTATGCTAGGATCTGTTTTAGTTGTTTCTTCAAATGATAGAAAATCGTTTTCCTGACCTTTTTTGTTTTAACTGTTTCTGACTGGTTTCACCTGGACCCTAAAAACTCGACAAAGCTGGGTGCCTTCCTCAGTGGCTCGTTTCTTCGCTGGCAGATCGTGGGGGTCTGTCTGCTGCCCCTGCTTTTATGGCCAGTGCTGGGGGCCTGGTCTGCCCTGCGGGTCCTACTCACCCCTGCAACCCAGCTTCACGGGCACCCCTTCCGCCCCCCGACGCCCCTTCCCGCCCAGGCTGAAGCCTGGCTGTCGCTCAGAAGCCTTTGTGGTCTGGTCTTTGTGCCTCTGTCTTTCCCGATCTTCCTCCTTCTCAGTCCAACTCCTGTGGCCTCTCTGTCCTCAAAAATGCCTCTTCCCTTGGTTCTAACCCAGTGGTCGGCAAACTCATTATTCGATAGAGCCAAATATCAACAGGACAACGACTGAAATTTCTTTTGAGAGCCACATTTTTTTAAACTTAAACTATATAGGTAGGTACATTGTTATTAACCTACCTTACATAGTTTAAGTACTGTTGATATTTGGCGCCTCCCCCGCTGCGTATCCCGCGGCCCGACCGACTGACCCCCCCCACTTCTTCTAACGCCACTTCTTCAAAATGGACTCGCCCAGGCCCAAAACCAACTTCTGCGCGTGGGCCACAAAGTTTCATTCACACTGTACGTGCACGCCCGCACGTGGTATTTTGTGGAAGAGCCACACTCAAGGGGCCAAAAAGCCGCATGTGGCTCACGAGCCGCGGTTTGCCGACCACTGTTCTCACCCCTTTGTTGCCCAGATAGCCCTGCGCCTCCCTGTGCGCCTCCCTGTCCGCCTCCCCCTCGCCGCCTCCCGCCCGGTCCCCTGTCCGCCTCCCGCCAGCATGTGAGCACTGTCCCGGGCTGCCCACTATGTGAGCCGCGTGGCTGGGATGGGCCACAGGAAGGGGGAAGCAGCCGTGAAACGTGGAAAGGCTGGAATGATGGGCTGGTGTTCATCTTCCCCAATAGCCCAGGCACCTCGCAGAGAGATTGGGGCGCTTCCAGACCCTGCATAAAGCGAGTGTCACCGTGCAGTGTGTCGCCTGCGTACCTGGTTCCCCGTGCACTTAGGGGCGCGTTTACCTGCATCTAGCCACGCACAGCAGGGCTGTCTGATCAGGCACCGCCTCCGTTCAGGGCCTGTGCTGTAAGGATGCCGACGCCCCCAGCTGTGCAGGGCGGTCTGTCGGGCTGTGGAGCGGGTCTGCGTGCGCAGCCGGGTGGCAGGAAACGCTTGTCCCCCCGGCTTCGCTGAGCCCTGTCTCATCTCCCGTCCCCTCCAGCCCAGGGCGAGATCGAGGCCATCGTGGTGCCCGTGTGCCTGGCCTTCCTGCTGCTCACGCTGCTGGGCGTGCTGCTCTGCTTCAACAAGCGGGACCTGTGAGTACCCCTCCCGCACCTGCCCCAGCCTGTCTGACGGCTCTCCCCCGGCCTGTCTGACGGCTCTCCCCTGGCCTGTCTGACGGCTCTCCCTCCGGCGTGTCTGACGGCTCTCAGCGTCCTGAGGGCCAGCGCTGCTGCGACTCGTGCCTTCTCGCTGCGGAGCAGTGTCCTGGGCACGGTCCGTCGCATCAGCCCACACGCTGTGGCGGAAGCTCCAGGGTTTCTTGGACGGTGGCCGCTGTGAGCGACGTGCGCTGCTCGTGGAGCGCGTCTTGGTGTCACGTGTGCGTTAGCGAGGAGGGTCGCCAGGCGTGCGGCAGGTGCACGTCTCACTTTATCAGAAACTGTCACCCGTTCTCCAGGCTCAGGGACGTGCTCACTCGTCCGGTGGCTGTGGGTTAGTGGGCGTCTGATGGGATTACAGGGTCGCCCTCGGGGCTGAGGTTCTCTCTTGGGGAGAACTTGCTTTTTGTGCAGATGGGGCGAGAGGAGTGTTTCTCAGTCGGCTCGTGGCTGGTCTGTGGGCCGAGGTGGGAGCCCTCCGCCCACACTGCCTGGTTGTGCAGGGGGCAGCCTGGAGGTCCTTTCCCTCCCGCGACCGCTCCCTGCAGAGCTGGGCTCTGACCGGGCAGGGCCTGTAGGAGGGAAACATGTGGGGAGGCCTGTGATGACGGATCTCCTTACTTAGTGTTTTTAGTTCTGTTGCTCTTCCTTCCTTTCCTGGTGCCCAGCTGAAATGCGTCTGTTGTCTGACTGTTGGAAGTTGGGCGGTTTCTCTCCTGCCGTCGGGAGGGCCGAGCTGCCGCACGCCGTGGCCTGGCGAAGCTCGGCAGTGGCCTCCGTGCAGGACGACCTGGGGTTTTCCTGGTGGAATGTCGCTGGCGAGCTCAGTCTCGTTGGCGGCCTTTCGTCACGATAGGCAGGCGGTCCTGTCTCACACGGGCTGCTCAGCGGGTGCTGTTGGTGGGGGGTGTGTCTGGGGTCAGGGACCCCCTCGTGCGCTGCCCATGGCCCCTCACCAGCCGTGTCTCCTTCTCTCCAGGATTAAAAAGCACATCTGGCCCAACGTCCCCGACCCGTCCAAGAGCAACATTGCCCAGTGGTCGCCGCACACGCCGCCCCGGGTAAGACAGAGGGCAAATGCGGGCACGTTTTGGGGGTCAACCTAGACCTAACCAGTTGGATCAAAAAGTAAGTGGAACCAGAATAGCACACGAATGAGGATCGTAACCCGCATTTCACGTGATGCCTGCGCGTCCTGTGCCGTCACCCTTGGAGCACATTCACGCTGACACGTGGGTGTCGGCCGCAGACAGCCTGGTCCTGCAGCGCGAAGCTCACAGGTGTCGGCGCCGCCCCGCGGGCGGGCGTTCCGCTTCGTGTCCCCATCGGCCTGCGCAGCCGGCGTGTTCCCGCGCTGACGGGCGGGTCCCTCCTGGATCCCGGGAACCTCCTTGAAGGGGGGTCTGTCTGCGTTGCCTTCCCTCCCGGGATTCCGAGTTAACAGGCTCATGTGTAGTGTGTGCGTGTTCCGTGGAGCCTGAGTCATTTGCGTTTGTTTTTTCTGAACGTTTCTAGTTTCTCTGTCCCGTTAGCCTGGGCCGCCCGTCGGGGCATGGAGAGCGAGTGCTGAGCCAGCAGCGTGGGCTGGCCCACGGAGAACGTCCCCGCAGCTGGACCTGGGCGCTCGTGGCCGG